TTTCCTGGCATGATTTGGGCCCTTTAATTCGTGTGGAACAACGTCTGAATAGCACAACATACCAAAGTATCATTGCTGATCAAGTTCATCCTATCATGTTGATGGCGTATCCCAATGGAGATGGCTTCTTCCAACAAGACAATGCGCCATGCCACGGTGCTCGTATTGTGCAGGAGTGGTTTCAAGAACACGAGGGAGACTTTACCTTGCTTAGGTGGCCCCCACAATCACCAGATCTCAATCCAATTGAGCATATGTGGGGCGATGTTGAAAGAGCCATCAGGCAGCTGGTTCCACAACCATCAAATCTCACAGAACTGGACAGTGCTATTCATCAGGCATGGTGGCCCAACGAAGTACTGATGGGGTGGTCATAATAATCTGGCCACTCAGTGTATTTCTACTACACTCCACGATTATACCCCACTTATCCTTACTATCTGCAGTAAATGAAAAAAATGCAATTCCTGCTGCAGGTTATCTATCGGTGGGATTTTCAGGGATCTTGTGTGGAAAAGGACATTGCCTAGAATTAGACTGGAGGTACTCCAATACCCCAAAGCCTCAGGTTTTCTTCTAGCTCCAAACCCATAGCTCTATTTCATTGCTGCACAACTCAAACATATAGCTGTCTGGGAGCAACTCTACACAAAGTCATCCAGGGTGCTTCCACTCCTGTTTCAGGGAACAAATCTTTTGCATGCCTAAAGTGTATTTCCACTTTTGCAGCCAAAATTGATAAAGCTCACCCCCGGGATGGACTACAATGTTACGTTTCGTTTACCAATTTGTATTAACATTGTAGTCCATTGGGGGAGTGAGCTTGGAGCGGTGACTACTTTACAACACACACATAGGGACCATGGGGAACAAAAGTAGCCCCCCTCCAGAAGGAAGGACAGGGTCCGCACCGATTCAGAGATGCTCGCTGGATGTTGGCCATAGAATGGGTCTTTGCTACTCCTCCCACTGTGAAGGAATGGTTAAGAGAACCTGATAGATGCATATAAATCAAGACACTTACTTCCTTTTGAAATGTCCTGCACAAATTTCCCCAAATCTGTTTCTGTTGGGTGGACGTGCTGGGTCATGGTGCTGCTTAATATGCAAGACTTGGCCTTATTATTTAGTACCCTTGTCGTAATGAGTGAAATCACCAGGCCCACACTCACAAGTGTAGTGTGGGGGCTGCAGCCCGCACCCGGTTGACACCATTGGAGGGGAGACACCAAAATGACTGACAGTCATTTTGGTATCACCCCCTGTAAAAAAGACGGGCACTCGGTCATAGACTGAGAGCCCGACAGTGTCAGGAGAGAGGAGGAGACCCAGCGGCATACCTCATCCTGCCGGGTGAACGTCACCTCCTTTCCTCCTTTCTCTGCCAACGTCCACCACTAATATTAATATAAAGGAAAATCTCGGCATCAGTGTCCGTGACATGATTTCATCTATTGTCAGTTTTAAACAACAAACACATACAAGGAAGATTTAAAAAAAAAAAAAACCCTTGCTTTAAAGAGAGCGAATGTGGAGGGCTGTTCACCATGCAGTGGATTCAATACCCAACCAATGGCTGAGGGATGCTGATGTGTTTTGTGCTTAGGCACAGCTGCAGCCCTGTATGTGAAATCCTTTGAGACATTTTAAGATGATAGCACTGGTGGGCATGAGTCAGCACTTGGCATCCGGTGGGTGAATATAGAATGCAGAACACCATTGCACCTGCATACGTTTCTCCAAAATCATTAGTTTAGTGTAAGAAAAACATTTCATGATGAATTTACTTACTTTTTCACATCTTGGTTCCTTAGGCTGTAAAAATAGGCATTCAGGATGAGAGCCTGACCATGACCATAATGTTATCATTCCTGAATGATGTGTAACGTAAGGGGATACACACAGCCAAACTTCATTCAAAAGCCATGACTGGAGAAAGAAAAATGCTAGTGAACTCCAGAAACCCAAAGAAGAACATTAGAAGAAGATCTGTAGGCAACAGCCAAGGAAGGAGAATGAGTGTTCTCCATGAAGAGGAGAAGGAGATGTCCACTGCTGACAGGTTGCCTAAGAAAAAGTACATTCACATATGCAGCCACTGAGAAAGTGTAATAGAACTTAGTAGAAGTTGGCAGACCGTATAAGTGTGTATATACCCAGAACAGTGGAGAAGAGAGCAGCATGGTTGAGGGTCTGAGAAGCACAGAAGAACAAAGCCGGAGGTTATATTAATTTTTCCATCAGAAATGATCTAGGAGTCAGAAAGGTCAGATGAAAGAACAATACCACCAAACAACATCAAGAAACATGGATGTCACCATTACTGCAGAATGATATCAGTGGACACCCAACCTTCCTGTGTTCATATAATGCAACATAACATATCTGCAGCATAGCACATGTAATATCATTAAATGTGATACCCAAAACCTTAGGCAATTACCCAATCTGTGCAAGCTTTAAGAAAATAGGATGCTCATGATCTGGGTTGAGAGCTCTGACAGAACTTAGGAACATTACACGCAGGTGTGGATATATACAGTCCACGCAGGTGTGTATATAACCAGCAGGGTGAGTGGACGAACAGCATTGTGGTAGAGAGGGTCTAGGACCTTAGATGAATGAAGCGGAAGGTTGTATGGACCAGTTTGTTATGGAAAAAATCTGGAATTTGTTTCATTTTTTTATATGCTGTTTCCTCTGTTCTGGAAGAGTTTGTCTACTCAGCTAGCAGCATTTCCTTTGGAAGACCTTTTTACATTTGATGGGGAGGAATGTAGGTGGTGGAGGACTGGAAATGATGGGGAAATGTAAGGGATGGGGGGAGGTAAATGGGGTAGAGTATACGTGATGGGGTAGAGTATACGTGATGGGGTAGAGTATACGTGATGAGGTGGAGTATATGTGATGGGGTAGAGTATACGTGATGAGGTGGAGTATACATAATGGCAAGGGCTGCTCAGAACTGCAAGGACCTCCTTCACCACACCCAGGTATGGAGATGGTTGTCAGGAATCCTCCCATGTATTATCTGTGTCCTCTGTATAAGGATTCCTATGAATACGAGTCTCAGCCTCGCCCTGTGTAGGAATGTACAGAATCGGTCACACTGGTTAATGAGTGTCAGAGACTTTCACTTTCACTTCTCTCTTCTGCTGCCAGCGATGGCGTCTGCTGATCTGAGGAAGGAGCTGGAATGTTCCGTCTGTCTGAGCAACTATACAGATCCTGTAACCCTGAAATGTGGACACAATTTCTGCCGGGACTGTATTGGTCGTGTGCTGGATACACAGGAGGCGTCTGGAGGTTATTCCTGTCCTGAATGCAGAGAGAAGTTCCAGAAGCGGCCTGCACTGCACAGGAACATAACACTGCGTAACATAGTGGAGAATTTCCTGTCTGCTCAGCCAGATCAGGAGGAGTCCGGAGTCTTCTGTACTTATTGTATTCACGCTCCTGTACCTGCTGTGAAGTCCTGTCTGCATTGTGAAGCTTCTCTGTGTGACAACCACCTGAGAGTCCACAGCAAGTCACCAGAACACGTCTTATGTGACCTCACCACTTCCCCGCAGAACAGGAAATGCTCCGTCCATAAGGAACTACTGAAGTATTACTGCACTGAGGACTCTGCCTGTATCTGTGTGTCCTGTTGTCTGATTGGAGGACATAAAGGACATGAGATGGAGTCACTGGATGAGGCCTCTGAGAAGAAGAAGGAGACACTAAGAAATGTTCTCCAGAAACTGTTGACAGAGAAAGAGGAGATGGAGGAAAGAGTCCAGAGTCTGAAGGAACACAAGAGGAAAGTATAAGGAAAAGCGGCCGGTGACACAGTGGGAGTCACTGCCCTGTTCAGAGAGCTCAGGAGACATCTGGAGAACCTGGAGAAGAGAGTCCTGAGTGAGACCTCCGAGGAGGAAAAGCGGATCTCCCTCCGCGTGTCGGAGATGATCCGGAAACTGGAAATAAAGAAGGACGAGCTGTCCAGGAAGATGCGTCACATTGAGGAGCTGTGTAGCATGACGGACCCACTGACTGTCTTACAGGAATCAGACACAGGGGACTTGTGTCATACTGGGGAGGGAGATGATGAGGACAGAGAGAGACATGATAGACTCCTCAATGATGGACGGGGTCTGGATGTGGCTGGAATCTCACACACATTGCACATGTTATCTGATATAATAACAGGGATAAATGTATTCTTCTATATACAGGAAACTGAAGACATATTACTGGATGTGAGCACAGCTAGTAATCTTCTACAGATATCACATGACAGGAAAACTGCATCCTCGTCATCAAATCAGAATCGTCCAAAAACTCAAGAGAGATTTCAGTATTATCCTCAGGTGTTGAGCAGTCAGAGTTTCTCCTCAGGGCGACATTACTGGGAAGTGGATGTCGGGGGGTCAGAGTCCTGGAGAGTCGGGATGTGTTACCCCAGTATGGAGAGGAGAGGAGATCAGTCAGCGATTGGAGATAATAAGAAGTCCTGGAGTTTGGGGAGGTGGGTGGGGTGCGGGGGCGGTATCCATTACTCAGTGATACATGACAGTAAGAAGATCCTATTACCCGGCAAGGACTCCAGTAACAGAGTCAGGATCTACCTGGATTATGAGGCCGGACGGATCTCCTTTTATGATTTGTGTGACCATTTCCGACACCTCCACACCTTCACCACCACCTTCACTGAGCCCCTCCATGCCGGGTTAGGTGTATACAGAACTTGTATAAAGATATCTGGGGGGCATCAGATGTGAGAGATCTGCCCAGAGACTGGTGACATCACAGGGCGGAGAATCTGATTGGTGGAATATTCAGCCAATAGGAGGAAGCAGTGGAAAGGAAATTGCATTACTGATTTATAAATCAGCAGGCTTTGCGGGTGTCATCTTCATCCTCAACTTCTCTTCCCTACCTCGTGGGTCACTGACTAGCAACAAATATGCAGGACATAGGGGAGTGGGCATTAATGTGGCAGATGAGGTTTAATGTCGATAAATGCAAAGTAATGCACTTTGGAATTAAAAATAAACAAATGGGTTATACAATTATGGGTATGCCGCTGGGGAAGTCAGAAATGGAGAAGGATTTGGGGGTCATTGTAGACCACAAACTGAAAGGTAGTTTGCAGTGCCAGGCTGCTGTAAACAAAGCTAGCAGGGTCTTGTCCTGTATTAAAAAGGGGATGTATTGCAGGGACAAGTCTATAATTTTGCCACTTTATAGATCATTGGTTCGACCTCATCTGGAGTACGCGGTCCAGTTCTGGTCACCAGTACTAAGAAAAGATGTCCTTGAGTTGGAAAAAGTCCAGCGAAGGGCAACCAAACTAATTAGGGGTATGGAGGACCAGAGCTACGAGACGAGGCTACTAAATTTAAACATGTTCACATTAGAGGTGAGGAGATTAAGGGGGGATATGATTTCCATGTACAAAATGTTTAATGGTGGTAGCAACATTAGCGATAAACTGTTTAAAATTAACTCCGTTACAAAAACTAGAGGCCATCACCTAAAATTGGTGGAAAAAAAATTCCAGCACAAGGGGCGAAAGGGGTTCTTCACAGTAAGATCAGTTAGGGTCTGGAACTCACTGCCACAGGCGGTGATTTCAGCAAATAATGTGGAATTGTTCAAGAAACTTTTGGACGATTTCTTAAGGGACCGTAATATACAGGGGTACGGGTACTCCTAGAATGAGATCCTAATAGGTTGGACTTGATGGACTAATGTCTTTATTCAACCTCAAATACTATGACATCAGCTTATTCAAACTTCACTGGTTGAATGCTTGTTCCGGCGTCAGTTACACACTGGGTAGTGTAGTCAGGATCGGGATGAAAGTCCTGGAACCTGCACCTTTAAGGTGTATCTATATTTTTCATTTTTGGATGGAGAGGGGGAGGATTAGAACCTCTGTCAGGTTTTTACTGCTATCCGGGGGCCCCAATAGAGAGATTCCCCTCATACCCTCCAGTCCTTAGATGTGACTGCACCCCTCCCCTTACACCCTCCAGTCCTTAGACGTGACTGCACCCCTCCCCTCATACCATCCAGTCCTTAGATGTGTCTGCACCCCTCCCCTCATACCCTCCAGTCCTTAGATCCTTATACCCTCCAGTCCTTAGATGTGACTGCACCTCTCCCCCCTTATACCCTCCAGTCCTTAGATGTGTCTGCACCCCTCCCCTCATACCCCCCAGTCCTTCGATGTGTCTGCACCCTTCCCCTCATACCCCCCAGTCCTTCGATGTGTCTGCACCCTTCCCCTCATACCCCCCAGTCCTTCGATGTGTCTGCACCCTTCCCCTCATACCCCCCAGTCCTTCGATGTGTCTGCACCCTTCCCCTCATACCCCCCAGTCCTTCGATGTGTCTGCACCCTTCCCCTCATACCCCCCAGTCCTTCGATGTGTCTGCACCCTTCCCCTCATACCCCCCAGTCCTTCGATGTGTCTGCACCCTTCCCCTCATACCCCCCAGTCCTTCGATGTGTCTGCACCCTTCCCCTCATACCCCCCAGTCCTTCGATGTGTCTGCACCCTTCCCCTCATACCCCCCAGTCCTTCGATGTGTCTGCACCCTTCCCCTCATACCCCCCAGTCCTTCGATGTGTCTGCACCCTTCCCCTCATACCCCCCAGTCCTTCGATGTGTCTGCACCCTTCCCCTCATACCCCCCAGTCCTTCGATGTGTCTGCACCCTTCCCCTCATACCCCCCAGTCCTTCGATGTGTCTGCACCCTTCCCCTCATACCCCCCAGTCCTTCGATGTGTCTGCACCCTTCCCCTCATACCCCCCAGTCCTTCGATGTGTCTGCACCCTTCCCCTCATACCCCCCAGTCCTTCGATGTGTCTGCACCCTTCCCCTCATACCCCCCAGTCCTTCGATGTGTCTGCACCCTTCCCCTCATACCCCCCAGTCCTTACATGTGACTGCACCCCTCCCCTCATACCCCCCAGTCCTGTCAGCGATGGGCCTTTAATTTTGATAACAAGTTTGAGATGTTCTGTTGAGTCAGGAGAGATTTAACTAGTAACAAATGTTAATATAAAGGAAAACCTCGGCATTAGTGACCCTGACATGATTTTATTCATTTTCAGTTTTAAACAACAAGCACATACAGGGAAGACTAAAAGAACAACCCCTCGGTTTAAAGAGAACAAATGTGGAGGGCTGCTCACCATGCTGTGGATTCACTACCCAACCAATGGCTGAGGGATGCTCTCCAAAGCAGCAACCTAAGCAGTAGCATGCTGACGTGTTTTGTGCCTAGGTACAGCTGCAGCCCTGAATGTGAATTCCTTAGTACTTGAGGTTGAATAAAGACACAGGTCCATCAAGTTCAACCTTTGTGTGTCTGTGTGTGATTGTGCATGTGTGTGTGTGTATGAGTCCCTGTGTGATCTAGTTTTTAAGAGTACCTGTACCCCGGTATGTTCCGGTCTTTGAGGATGGTATCTAATGGATTTCTGAATGATTCAATACTCTCTGCTAGGGATGTCCAGATACCAGTGGAGATACCAGTGCCGTTACTTGGCATTTTCATGAGAACTACCAGGGTTGCAGCGGTTGCAGCTGAGACCTGTCTTTGGTGCTCCCCCACTGTCCTGAAATCATTAGTCTGTATTGTTTTGTCACATGACAATAAAAATTGGAAAAATGGTATCGGTGCTGTGCTGTTTGTTACTCTTAAAGACTGTGTATGCTGTGCCTGGGGCTTCCCGAGGCTGGGTGACATCCGGAGCGGTAACCGAGTGTCACCCCGCCGAGACGTCACTGTGCATGCGCGTGACGTCACCACGTGCGTGCACGATGATGTCATCGTGCGCACGAGGCAGTATTCTGATACCTGCCGGCGGCCATCTTGGTGATGGACGCCGGCAGAGAGAGGAGGGGACAGTCCATGACCGAGTGCCCGACTTTTCAGAGGGGGGGGGGG